TAGTACAGACGGGGGGGTTTCATCATGTTGGCGAGGATGGTCTCGATCTCCTGACCTCGTGATCCGCCCACCTCGGTCTCCCAAAGTGCTGGGATCCCAGGTGTGAGCCACCACGCCCGGCCGAAAAGACGTCTTAAAAGGCAAATCCTAGGCCGGCGCGGTGGCTCCTCTGTAATCCCAGCACATTGAGAGGCCCACGCAGGCGATAACGAGATCAGGAGTTGGAGACCAGCGAGGCCAACATGCAAAACCCCGTCTCTACTAAAAATACAAAATTAGGCGTGGTGGCACACAGCTGTAATCCCAACTACTTGGGAGGCTGAGGCAGGAGAATGGGGTTGAACCTAGGAGGTGGAGGTTGCAGTGAGCCGAGATCGTCCCACTGTACAACAACCTGGGCTACAAGAAGAGACTCCATTAAAAAAAAAAAAAAAAAAAAAAAGGAGCCAACCCTAGGTTCACAACAGTGTTGATTGATATCTTTAGGAGTAATTGGGGAAGTTGCAAATCTTATGACCTCCGGAATAATGGCTGGTAATATTTAGACTTCCAGCCCCTGTCATCCTAACTTGGTGGCTGGTGGCCTTTCATTCATTTTACAAGAACATTCTAGTTTTGGGGAACGGCTATTATTTAAACTAAACTAAATTCCTTCCCAAGGCTTGTTTGGCCTTTGGCCAGTAATGGACAAGGACCTTTTGACGGTTACAAGCAAGATGGAATTGGTTAAGTCTGTTATCTTTCACTGTCATAATTTCCTTAGTTATAATTTTGCAAAGGTGGTTCCAATACTTCCTCTCAGTATGTGTTCCCTTTTCATTTTAACAGTGTCTTTAATGAAAATTAGCTTTTTATTTTTATTAAGTTCAATGTATCAAGTTTTAACTTTATATTTACTCTTTTGGTATCTTCTCTAAGAAGTTTTTGCTTGCTCCAAAGTGACAAAAATATTTTCTTATGATGTCTTCTGAAGATGTTTTGGTTTTCAGCTTTTATGTTAGAGTCTTTGAGGCCACTCCAGTTGTTTTTATTTTTTTGAGACAGGGTCTAGCTCAGTCACTCAGACTGGAGTGCAGTGGTGTGATCATGGCTCACTGCAGCCTCCACCTCCCGGGCTCATGCAATCCTCCCACTTCAGTCTCCTGAGTAGTTGGGACTACAGATGCACACCACTGTGCCTGGCTAATTTTTAAAATTTTCTATAGGGACAGCTACTCCTTATGTTTCCCAGACTAGTCTCCAACTCCTGGCCTCAAGTGATCCTCCGGCCTCAGCCTCCTAAAATGCTGGAATTACAGGTGCTCGCCACCATGCCTGGCTAATTTTCGTATTATCTGTAGACATGCGGTCTTACCATATTGCCCAGGCTAGTCTTGAACTCCTGAGCTCAAGCAATCCTCCTACCTGGGCCTCCCAAAGTGCTGGGATTACAGGCATGAGCCACCACGCCAAGCCCCCTTGATTTTTGTCTCTGACCTGGAAATGGAAAGTAGTTTTTCTCCACCTGTTTCAGCATCTGTTGAGAGGACTTTCTTCTCTCCATTGAAATGCAAAAATAGGAAATATACATCACAGAAGAAGGTATAGAGCAGGTGGCCATCTTTTTTTTTTTTTTTTTTTTTTTGAGATGAAGTCTCACTCTGTAGCCCAGGCTAGAGTGCAGTGGCACGATCTCGGCTCACTGCAAACTCCGCCTCCTGGGTTCATGCGCCATTTCTGCCTCAGCTCCCGAGTAACTGGGACTACAGTGGGCGGCGCCCCCACGCCGGGCTAACTTTTTGTTGTTAGTGGAGACGGAGTTCACTGTGTTAGCCAGGATGGTCTTGATCTCTGACTGGTGATCGGCGCCGCCCTGGGGGCCTCAAAGTGTTGGGGATTACAACGTGAGCCACTGTGGCGTTAGCCAGCAGGTAGCCATCTTTTGTCCTTCCCTTGCCACACTGGAAGGGAATAGTCTTGGGCGCACATGGTGTAAAATATGACTAAAATGAGCTGATGAGCTTTAAAAAAATGCAAAAAAAACTCATGTTTTAAGAGAAGGTTGAGAATTCGTGCCGCGTTGGCCACATGCTGCCTGGCAGGCTGAGGCTGAAAACAAAGCTTGGTGGCTATACCAGTTATCAGGGGAAATGCAGATGGAAAACCACATGAGATCTGTCACATGGATCACAGTGAGAACAAAAGACTGGCAACACAAGTTGCTGGTGAGGACGTGGGAGCGGCGAGGAACCACCCATGTGCTGTCTGTGAGGGAATTAAGTGAGAACACGAAGCTGCGGTTTGGCCGCGCCGTGCGAGGCGAGTTGAGGTCGAGGCAGTGCGCAGTCGCACGGCCAGGACGTGCCAGAGATCGAGGACCATCCTGGCTAACACGGTGGGAAACCCTTCTCATCTACTTAAAATACAAAAAAAAATTAGCCAGGCGTGGTGGCATGGCGCCTGTAGTCCCACTACTCGCGAGCTGAGGGCAGGAGGAATGGCGTGAACCCAGGAGCAGACACTTGCAGGTGGAGCTGGAGATTGGTGCACCAACTTGCACCTTTCCAGCCTGGGCAACAGATGCGAGACTCTGTCTCAAAAAAAGAAAAAAAAAAAAAGAAGCTGGGCAAGGTGGCATGTCCTTGTAATTTCCAGCTACTAGAGGGACTGAGGTAGGGGGATCCACTGAACTGGGACGCGAGGACTTGCATAGTTGAGTAAGAATTGTGCCACTGCCACTCCAGGCCGGGCAACAGGAGCAAGACTCGCATCAAAAAAAAAAAAAAAAAAAAAAGAAGAAAAGAGAAGTGGAACAAAATGAGCTGTGGAAAATGGTCCTGTGATTTCTCATAAACTTAAGCATGTACTTACCATGGGAACTGGCAGTTCCACTCCTCAATAAAAAGTTATCCACAAGAAGACTGGCACACAGATCTTCATAGTGGCTTTATTGACAAAAGGTCCAAACTGGAAACAACCCAAATGGCCATCAGCAGAATGGGCCAAACTGCAGCCCCTCCACAAAGACAGCACTACCCACCATACAAAGGGAGCACTGCCCACCATACAAAGAGGAGCAGCCCCTCCACAAAGTGGAGCACTGCCCACCACACAAAGGGGTTCAGCCTCTCCACAAAGGGGAACACTGCCCACTATACAAAGGGATGGCTCCCAAGGGATGTGGTGAATGAAAGAAGGCCCACATACACACAGAGTGTGGCAGCTCACACCTAGATTCCCAGTGCTTTGGAGGCCAAGGTGTCAGAGGTGTTTGAACCAGAGCAAACCCGTCTTGAATAGAGGCAGGGTAAAATGAGTCTGAGACATGCTGGGCTGCATTCCCAGGAGGTCAGGCATTCTTAGTCATTGGACGAGATAGGAAGTCAGCACAAGATACAGGTCACAAAGACTTTGCTGATAAAACAGGTCATGATAAAGAAGTCTAACCCTACCAAAACCAAGATGATGATGAAAGTGACCTCTAGTTGGCTGGGTGTGGTGGCTCACATCTGTAATCCCAGCTCTTTGGGAGGCCGAGGTGGGTGGATCACGAGGTCAGGAGATCGAGATCATTCTGGCTAATACGGTAAAACCCCACCTCTACTAAAAATACAAAAAATTAGCCAGGTGAGGTGGCAGGCGCCTGTAGTCTCAGCTACTCGGGAGGCTGAGGCAGGAGAATGGCGTGAACCCAGGAGGTGGAGTTTGCAGTGAGCCCAGATTGCACCACTGCACTCCAGCCTGGGCAACACAGCAAGACTCCGCCTCAGGGGGAAAAAAAGAAAAAGGGAAAAAAAAAAGTGACCTCTGGTTGTCCTC